ATTTGCCATGGTGGTGATTTAGTTTTGGCACCTCCACCCCCTCGACCTCCTTGGTCTCCTTTGCTGGCTCCTCCTCTGCCCACTCCATAATGCTGACATTCTCCTGCCCTCTAACCTTGGTTTCCTGCTCTTCTCTCTTTAAATGCTCCTTGGGCAATCTCATCCTTGCCTGCAGTCCCAACTACATTGGGTATACTGACCACTTCTGAATATTTTCCTCTAATTCCGGTCGCTCTTCCAATCATATAGATTCTTTACAGCCCATGGGTTGCTGGACATACCCGTCAGGTATCCCACAGGCACAACAAATAAAAATATGTCTAATAATTAACCATATCATAGCCCCTTCTTCTCCTGACCCATTTTATCCCCCACCCCACCCCCATCACCTTACATACACATACAAATCTTCCTCTGGAATTCCTGGTCTGTTTCTGACACCACCAACCACTGAGTAACTCAAGCCAGAAATAAGGAAGTAATTAGACACTACTCCCTTTTCTCTTATCTCCTATAGTCAACCAATTACCAGATCATACTGATCAAATCTCCCTCATCATTTTCACATCTGTCCCCTCCTCTCCATCCTTACTAGTACTGCCCTGCTACATGTCCCACTTGTTCATCCCTGGTTCTTGTCCTCGTTGTCTTTGGTGTCTGTGATCAACCTACCCCCCCTTAACTTCAGCTCCATTTTGCAGCCACAGTAACCAGTTTAAATCACAAATATGACTACATTCACTTCTCCTCACAACCTATAAGCCCCCTGGCCTATGGATAAAGTTAAACATCCTAACACATGAGCTCCCCAAGAGCTGGGTCCCACCTGCCTTGAGGGCCACCCACCACTCCCCTGGTTTGTTTTTCATGCTCCAGGGACTCCATGTGGTTCACAATCTTGAGCGCATACCACAGGCTCCACATCTCTGGGCCTCATTCATGCCTTCTCATCCTTCAAATTGCACTTCAGGACCACTTCCTCCAAGCAGCCTCCCCTGCACACCCAGATTCCATAAGTGCCCTACCATGTGCTCCCAGACATGCTTCTGTGTATCAGAACATGGCCTGATCTGGTGCCTGCAACTCTCTTCTACTAATCAGACTCTTAGGTTCATCAAGGGCAGGAAAGTGTATTCATTCATTCATTCATTCATTCATTCATTCATTTATTCAACTAACATTGAGGCATTTCCTGTGTGCCAAACAATGTACCAGGCAGAGTACATTACCTGTAAACATTATGTAAGTGAAAGCTGTATTTTCCATCTCTATATCTCCAACACCACGTACAGTGCCTGGCACCAAGAAGATGCTCAATAAACATTTGCTGAACCAGCCAGCAGACAAGTGAGTGAGACCACGTACAGAGTCACAGAAATGGTACAGGCTCCAGGATCTGGTGACAAGGGTTCACGTTCCAACTCTGCCCATTCATTGTTGGGTCATCTTGGCTGAAGACCTTGCTTTCTATCTATGAAATCAGAATTACTAAGGCAATGCCAACCTCCTGTTTTACTGTAAGAATTCAGTGGGATATATAAGCAAACATGGATTGTACATTATTCAGTCTCATGAAAACATGAAGTCACACTGACGGTGTCAGTCACAGAGAGCAGAGGCCCAACACCAAATGGGTGTGGGGATGGAGGCTGCAGAGGAAGGGGCAGCAGGCCAGAGAGAGAGCAGCAGCAGGACCTAGTTTTCAAAGCCCTGGGGCTGTGATGTAAGCACGAGGGACTGCCACAACTGAAATGTGGCTCTCTCCTCCTATCTTGTGGTGCCAGGGCGCTGGCTATCAATCTCTTCCCCTCCTTAGGCAGTAACAAAAGCTTTACCATTTGCCATCAGGGTCTACAGCTGTGGGCAGAAGGCAGCTTCGGCCCTCTCCCCTCCTCTGAATATAAAACAAGCTGTTTCTAATCCTCCATTTTCAATGACTTCAGCCAATGGCTTTCACCAGCTCCATTCTTGGCAGCCACTTAGAGTCACGCGAAAAGGAAACTCCTCATAGCCATCAGACCAGGGTTGGGCTCTGGTGCAGCAACAGTGGTAGAAATCAGTGGAGTGGAGCCCCGGCCTCCTCCAGGGACAGCTCTCCCACTGGGATCTGCTCCTACCCTCACAGAGCCCTCAGGGAAAGGAGGCAACTTGCTTTTGAGCCTGTGCTGGGCGCACATTAACGTCCGCGCTGGGGGCAGGAGGAGGCCCCAGGGCTGTGTGAGTGCACTCTGATGCACAAAGATGCCGAGTAGATTCTAACACTTTTCCTTGAGAGACAAGGCCTGGTCAGAAGAGGCCCTCTTCCATCTAGGACCTTTTGTTGAAAAATTCAGAAGCTGTTGGAAATTCCATACACAGCACACTAACAAAGGACCCGATGAGAAGGCTGAAGCTTCCTGGCCAGTGAAAAACATCCTAATCCCTGAGGCGCAGATGGGGAGCAAAGGAGCACTTCTAGCATCTCTGGAGGTGTAGATTTTTGGACCAAGAGGAAATAAAAAAGCACAAAACAGTCTGGGATAGGATGGGCAGCACAAAAAGTCTAAGCCATGAAGCCATCACACAAAACAAAGCTTACATTTATGTGGCACAATCACAACCTACAAATTGCTTTCACTTCTCTGGATGAATTTGATCAGTTCTTAACCTCCTAGCCTCAATACGCTCTGGGAAGTCGAGAGGATTAAACAGCATCATGTAGGGAAATTACCTAGCAAAGGTGTCTGGCACATCTTGGTAGCTGGGAGCTACCATTATTCCTTCTAGTGGATCTCACAAAAACCTTTGGAAGTAAGCTGGGTGCTGATTATTGTGCCCATTTTACAGACTACAGAAGCAAAGTTGTTCAGTAGGCCTGAGTGAAGGGCCCATGGTAACTCCATTAATGGCCCTAGGGAGACTTGAACCCAGGACCACCAGGGCTTTCCCTACTCTATACAACATTTCAGCGTGAATAGATCTTCATCACTGAGATCCACATTTGGAGGCTTTTGTTAATGGAACTATGATGGGATTTGCTCAGCCATCCATCCACACTCTCACTCACTCCTCTAGAGTACCTGGCATTTGTGAAATGGCTATCGTAGCTAAGGAACCATGATCTTCAGGTCAGAGTTAACTGACCCATGAAAGAAAGACCTTGGCTTCAGTATCAGACTTAATCCAACCAGACACATATTATGAGAAAGTTTTCCGATTCTTTGTGTATTAGGCACTGGGTGAATTTTTTTAAGTGACTAATGGAGCCGGTCCCCAGGGGTGGCTTAGTGACGCCTGGACACGGTGGACTACAGGGCTGTCTACATACTCTAATAGCCCTGTTCACCCCAGGCCCATGGACCTTCTCTAGGAAACCTACTCTAAGAACTGAGAAGAGAGCAAATGGTTAACAAAAACTAGTTTACGGGATTGATTCAGTGCTCATGGGGCTATCACTCCCAAAATAACAGCCATCGATAGCATAATATCACATTGCATGTTTACAGCTCTGAGCTTTTCCCAAACACTTATATGATCTCAGGATCACAGCTATCTCATTCCCCTACTTTCCAGCACCTCCTCCATCTTCCAAGAAAACCCTGAAGTTTTCCAAATCTGTAGGAACAAATAATCCAAAAAACAACCCACACTGCAGGATGCAGCAGGTTTTCCTTCTTATTTCATTACTTTGAAAGCACCCCAAGATCAGGACTTAGAAGGACCTGAAAGCCAGATTTTCAGGATGTGTGTGAAACAATGGATTGACATTGAGTGGCTCTAACACAGAAACAGAAAAACCACTCTCCTCCTCCACACCTCCCAAAAGTCACTACTGAGACAGCCCTGAGAAGCACCCATTTAGCTGATGCCAGGGACTCATCACCTCCTATAAGTGGCAACTATGCCCTCAATTCACTGCTTAGCAATTGGTGACCTGCCAAAAAAAAAAAAAAAAAAAAAAAACACAAACCCACACAAAAAAACAAAACAAAACAAAAACCCAGTAGCTATGTATGATGATGGATATTAACTACATTTATTGTGGCAATCACTTTGCAATACATACACAAACCAAATCATTGTGTTGTACACCTGAAACTAATATAATGGTACATGGCAATTATATCTCAGTTAAAACAAAAACAAAAACAAAAAACCTTGTCCCAGCAAGTCTAGTTTTAAGAATATGTTCAAGCAAACAATCCAGAATGTGAGCAAAATTTTAATTATGATGTTATTCCAGCAATGTATATAATAATAAAACAAATTTAATTAATAAAAGAAAGAAATCAGTAACCTGCCGATGGATGTTAGTTACCTCAATGGTGGGAATCCATGTATCTACCAGATCATCACATTGGACACTTTAAACATATCACAATTTTATTTGTTAATTCCACCTCAACAAAGCTGGGGGGAAAGATAACAACAGAAAAAACTGGCGACCTCCAATGTACCTTCATCTGCCTCCGACTCATTGTGATTGTGAATCCTGCACTGGAATGTGTCACCAGTGTTAGTCACCAGCAACACCGGGACCTGCACTTGGACGAAACAAAACAGATGCTGTGGGCAGCCAGACTGCTGTGCAGATGACCCACTTAAAACAGAAAAGACATGAATGGAGCGAAAAGAGGCAGTGCCACAGTCCTGATATCAACCCCCCTCCGCCCAACAAGGGATCTGAGCGAAGAAATGGCATCTCTTGGGACCAGGAAACAGGTTTCAGGGGGTATAAGGAGTTAGGACTGGGGAGAAAAAAAGAACACAAAAAAAGGACATTTGCAGCTTGGCGCCCACTAAGTGGGAAGAATGGGCATATTCCTGCACTCTCGCTCCGGGCAAGGGTGACAGGCTTGCCCCCCTCTGCAAAGCTCTGTGACAGAATGAACGAGGACTGACAGGAGGGCAGTGCCTTTTCTGCCCTGCGGTGCCCTGCCCTTCTCAGCAAGACTTGTGGCCGGGGTTGGCCCGTCCAGGGATCCATCCAGGCCCTGCTGGAAGGAGCTGCTCTCTCTTACCTGTCTGGCGGTGGGCAGTGCCGCCGGGAAGGTGTGGCTGGCCCCGGCCCCAGCTGGGCATGGCTCGGTGAGGCCCTGAGTGACAGAGTCAGCCACCTCCTGGTACATGGGAGAGGGTGGCAGAGGGACACGGCCCACCTCACCTCTGCGCCCCTGGCAGAGCTGCTGCAACGTGCGGCTCCTGCTCCCGCTCCGCTCTGCTCGCCCGCCTGCCAGGGCTTTGCATCTCATGAACGGGGAAAGAGCTGGCGGCAAGGGAAGGGGGTGGGGAGGCGGAGGGAGGGAGAGGGGCACTCTGACAGATGATGCGCACTGCCACGCCGAGTTGGGGGAGGACTGAAGACTGAAGCAGGATGCCACTGCCTGTGTTGTGTGGCTCTCCCGCTGACAGCTCATCACTGAGGGGCCGGCTGCTCTGGAGAATTCAGGGAGAAGCAGAGAGCAGGGGGGTGGCAGAAGGAGGAGGAGGAGGGAGGAGGGAGGAGATCCCCTGAGTTGCACAGAGGGGAAGGAGGTGAACTCGGGTAACTGGCATGGGGGAGAGAGGATGCACTGCCTTGGCTCAAAGACGGACCAGGCTGGAAACATCACTTGACTAGGTGGTGTGGGGGGAAAGATGAAGCACCATATTCCTAGCCTGCTGTCAAGGTTGTCTCCATCTCCTTCCGTGACCAACTGGCAAGGCCACTCTGCCTTAGGAATTTGGAATAGCTAGACACTTTAGACCAAGCACAGCTCCAACTTTCTCAAAGAGAAGGGAAAAGCTGGCAAGAAAGACTATAATGCATGAAACGTGTGGTGTCACACGTCACTCTACACTGCAGGCAAGTCTGAGTGCCCCTCTGCCACCTGCCCAACCTGTGACCAGGAGGTTGCCGTGGCAAGAACAGGAGCAAAAGGGAGCACCCACCCAGAGGGGATGGAGCATGTCACATGATGCTTCTGTCTGTAAAGTTCCATTTGGATGGTCAGGAGCAAAATCTGCTGGGCAGCTTGGGCCAGTGCCTGGAGAAGCTTCTTAGCCTGAGGGCTAACCCGCAGCATCTGATGCTAGAGTCCACCTGACCTGCCACTGACATGGGGCAGGTTCACTGCACAGGCCCCGGAGCTGACAGTCATCAGCTCTATTTACAACCACAGCAGAGGAAGAGGCTGACAGGAAAGAAAATAAACAAACAGTGGAAGCCGGAGAAGGACCAAAGGAAGCTGCAGCTGGGGAACACTCAGCAAGCTCAGCTAATGAGGGGAAGAGAGATCTCAAATAAGGGCCTTCTCCGGAGGGAGGGGATGGGATGCGGAGGGGGTGGAGAACCGGCGTGCTGCAAATTTCCAGGGACTTGTCCATCCCTGGTGCAAGCTAGAGCTCTTCTTCAGGTCTGTCTCCAGAGTCCTGCCAAGCACTGCCCCAGATGACCCCTCGGGTATGGCGGACAGTCAGCACACTGCCTCTACAGATGGCCACAGTCACCATCTCACCGCTGCGTAAAAACATCACACCAATTCAACAAGATCAGGTCAATTCAGCCAGCCGTCATCGGAGCCTACTGTGTGTTGGGGGGACGCAAAGATGACTAAGACAACCTAGTTCTGTCTCACAGGGTCCAGAAGGGAGACAGATTTAAATAAGTGACTCCAATGCATGGACATAAGTAAGCTCAGGACTCAGTGCCACCTCAACGCTGAGGGAGGGGACAGTCACCTGACAAATCACATACGTCCTCCCAGAGGAGGCCTCATCTGACCTGCACTTTGAAGATGACCTGTGGATTTTGACAAGCTTGAGTTCAATGGGGGAGAACTCAAGGCAGAGGAACAGCCTGGGCAAAGGCAGAGTCTAAAGGTGCCTGGTGTGTTTGGAGCAGAAAGTGAAGCGGGATAGGAGGCCACCATGGAAGATGTGATTTAAGGGGCACATTGTGACCAGACAGGAAAAAAAAAAAAAGCTTTAAATAAAAGAGTGTCATTTTCATGATCAGACCTGTGCTTTGAGAAGACACATTTGAGTGATGAGGGACTGGGAGAGAGGGAATCCAATCAAGGTTATGTTGTAAATCCCTAGGCGAGAGGATGAGAACCAAAATGAAACAGTGCACCTGAGAGGAAAGAACAAAGTACAGAGATTTGGGAAGGCTGGATTGGCAGGGCTTGATCTGATGTGAGGGACTAAGGGGTGGTGTTCAGAACAGGAGAGGGTGGGAAGGAGTTGAGAATGGACCTACAATCAGTTTGCTAGGGGACCTCAGTCCTACAACTGCAAGGAACTGAATGCAGCTAAAAAACCCAAATGAGTGAGGAAACAGGTCCTTCCCTAGAGCCTCCAGAAAGGAACGCAGCCCTGTCAACACCTTGGTTTTTATCCCAGTGAGGCCCATGTCAGACTTCCTGGCTACAAGACCATTGGGATATAGTTTGTGATCATTTGTTATGACGACAGCAGAAAATAATATACAGAGGCTGTCCTTGGTTGTAGTTAGGACATTTCTTGCATGATGTAGACGTACAGAAACAGTTGAAGAACCAAAATCAGAAATTAGATAACCTCTGCTTTTGGACATCTGGGTGGCTCAGTTGCTTAAGCATCCGGCTCTTGATTTCTGCTCAGGTCATGGTCTTGTGGTTCATGAGTTTGAGCCCCACATCAGGCTCTGCACTATAGCTCAGAGCCTGCTTGGGATTCTCTCTCTCTCTCTCTCTCTCTCTCTCTCTCTCAATCTCTCTCTCTCTCTCTCTCTCTCAATCTCTCTCTCTCTCTCTCTTTTTCTGTCCCTTCCCCCACTTGTGCACTCTCGCGTGTGCAAAATAAATAAATAAACTTTAAAACAAAACAAACCTCTGCCTTTCACTGAAGTGTAAGTTCTAAATATCTCCCTTAGAGTATATCACTCTCACACATACATGCACACACACATATGCATGCACACACACACACACACATCCCATAAATGAATGTCTGAGCTCAGTCTTAAATGATTTGTTAGGCTCCCTCCCTTTCTCAGGCATATTCTACTTCCAGCAAAAGTGGCTGTGTCTCTCTGATTGATTAGCCATTGTTGAGGAAGTCTTCCTTTACTCTCTCATATAGTATCACCTGTCATAGGGAACCTAGTCAATGCTTAAGGTTTAAGAGAAGGAAAGGAGGGAGGGGGCCACCTCCTTTGTCAGCAGAAGAGAACCTCTGGCAATGAGAAAGCAGAATGTGACAAGCTGAAGAAAAAAAAAAAAGGAAACAAAAACAGGAAGAAAATCCAAATAACCCAGTCCCAGGGTAGGAAGGAGATTCCAAATAGAAAGAAAATAGAATAGACGAATGGACAGATAGATACAGTTAATTAAAGGAACAAAGAAAGCTGAACCCTACCATATGGACCAATTTATATATCTATCTGTTAGAGTTCAATCCTCTCTATACGTGGGTGCATGTGGGCACAGGCCTGCATGTGTTCATGTGCAAACACACACATGAGCATCACTCACAGAGATTGAAACTTGCAAGTATCCAAAAGCTATTTATAGAGAATAGAATTTATACCTATCCAGGAATTCAGCTCTCAACCAAGTTATTCTGTAGGAAGTCTGAATGATCCTTCAATTATACCCACTTCTCCCCTATCCCCATTTCCATAGGCAGCAAATGGAAATGGTCAAGAACATGGATTGTGGCAAGTTAAGAACAGATACTCTGTACACAAATTCCAATTCTGCCACTTACCAGTTTTGTGACCTCAAGCACATCACTTAACCTTTCTGTGATCCAACTTTTCTTTTTTCTGTAAAACAGGGATACCCATAGCACCTGCCTTATAGGGATGTTATGAACATTAATGAGTTTATATGTAAGCAGCCTAGACTACTAATGGATATCCCATCTACCCACTCAGGATCAATGTACCCCTTGATTCCTCATAACATCCTATACTTACCCGTGCGTGTGTGTTTCATTATCTGGTTTCTCATCTGTGTATTCCCATTAGACTATAAACTCCATGAAGGCAGAAACTATATCTTGTTTCACTTGGCTTTCCTCATCTCATCCCATGTGCTCAAAAAATCAAAGATGAAATGGAGCTTTCTTTCTTACCTAAGATTAAATTCCCGGGGTACAGGCATAGATGTTTCAAATATTTATCAGTGCCCAGCTCCTGCAGCCTCTGTGGAGATGTGAGGAAATCTCCACAAGCTTACTGGATGAATAGAAACATGTGATCTAGTCACCACTATGGTACCAATCGACAACCTGTCAACTGCCAGACTCGTGAGTGAGGTCATACTAGATAACCCAGCCAATAGTCAATCCACCAGCTGACTCTGGACACATGAACAACATTAGCAAAGCCAACCCAATCAGGATTGTCCAAATAACTTACATCATTAGGACCTTAATATATGTTTGTTGTTTTAAGCCAAGAAGTTTTAGAATGTTTTGTTACACAGCAAAAGCTCAGATACATCATTGAGTAGCCCAGATTTTGAAGCCCATTCTGGGTACTTGTAGCTCCACTCCCTGAACACCATTTTCATCGTAACTGCCCAACTTTATTTCTGACATTAAAGAGCAAAACTGACATAGGTAAATCAATGAAACCCAGGCTTTATGAGAAAGTCAATTTGTGTTTGTTTCTTCTGAAACCTTGGACAACCTTTCTTAGCCTCAGGATGGTAAATATTTTTTCAGGGTGGTTAAATTGTTCTTGTATATAATAGGTATGTTCATCTACCCACCTATAATGGCACAGTCCACTTATCAAACACAGCTTTGAAAGTTAACTTCATGCAGGCTATTTTGCCTAAGTGTCTAATTTTCCTACAGGAATTGCTTACTCTTGGAGAGCAAAGAGTCATTCCTTTTTACCCTTCACAGTGCCTCGTGTAGCATTTCAGTGATTTCCAGACCTATACATCATGGCCCAGTTAAATTTATAAAATTCCCAAATGGCAACCACAGGGTCATCAAACTTTTATTTTTTCAAATAAGAACATTAAAAAGAGTTATCTACCATTGCCATAATTTTATACAATAAAGATAAATTTTTAATGTTTATTTTTGAGAGAGAGAGAGACAGAGTGTGAGCAGGAGAGAGGCAGAGAGACAGGCAGACACAGAATCTGAAGCAGGCTCCAGGCTCTGAGCTGTCAGCACAGAGCCTGATGTGGGGCTCAAACTCACAAACTGTGAGATCATGACCTGATCTGAAGTCGGATGCTTAACCAACTGAGCCACCCAAGCACCTTAAAATAAAGATAATTTTGATGCCAAAAACATACAAAGGACATAATCTCAGAATAAAGGATAATTCCTCCCATGAAAGTACAGCTAGCAACCCTGCACCCACATTTAGGCACATAAAATTAATATAAATATTTAAACACGTACACATTCATATGCACATGTATGTGTGCATATGTGTGCAT